TTTTTCGTGATGAATGAAGTTTTGAGGACAAACCAAAAGTACTTCTAAATATGGTCACTACTATTAAAACAAAAGTATGAGTAATATTGATCTACCTGTTTTGCTAAATCTTGTACAATCTGTTATGTCCCGTTCACACTGGTATTGGTGAATCCTTATTGAGCCATACTATGTAACTTACCCTATTGACCCGAATATAGGACGACCCCGATTATGAGACAACCCCCTTTCCAAGACTAATCTTCAGAAAAAAAAATTGACAATTTCAGAACAAATACTGAGCAAAAATACTATTTTTATGCTAACTATCAGAACTTTGCTGACATGAAATCAAAAGTCAAATGAGACTTTTATTCAGACGCCCTCTTCCTGGCTGTGCTCACTCGTGCTGCTGCGGTCCAGGTGTACCATCAGATCGCTACACCTGCCGACTCCTCCCAGAACGTCATTCTCACTGCCATCCAAGGCATCTATGCATGCAATGTTTGACACCTCTGCTGAATATTCCACCTTCATCTTAAAATTTGCGTAACTCTGCCTTAGTATGTTAACTTGCCCCACCTTCAGTCCACTCTGCTCTGGACCTCTGGTCTCCTTTTATTCCTCCTGTTGAGAACACACAGCCTGGCGCCCTCTGCTGTTACGGACGTGTAATGCTTAGACCCTGATTATAAGACAACCACGCATTTTAAAATTGTTTTCTATTAAGAAAAAACCTTGTCTTATATTCGGGTCAATACAGTATTTTAAAATAATTTTCTTGAGCCAGTATGTGCTAAAATGACCTTTTACAGAGTTAATGAAAAGTCACTCAGACCCCCACCACTTCCTGTGGCCAGAATATTGCACTTGCAACTTCAGAGTGGCAGACCACCATTTGTTGGACATACCTGGCGCTGGAATTGGCTTTCAGCACGAATTCCTACATGCTTTAGATCGCTGATCGAACAGCTGATTCGTTTCATTTCAACACTGGTAGACACTAATGAAGGCTGGGGAGACATTTCAGCAGTTAGATTAAGCGGTTAACCCTCTGGAGGCAGGCGTTGCAGATTTGCAACAGTTAAAACCTACCTACCTGGTTACTCCACATACGTATATCATGAGCATTTTTTACCTCAGGGGTACCCCTGAAGGACTTAGTTGTTCGTCCTTTTATCAAAACTTATTTTGAGCCTGAGAGGGTTAAAAAGAGGAGATCTTTTTCGCTTTTGGTTCTACTAAACGGACACAAGGGGATACTGGAGTGTGCCTTTAACAATGAGTACAAGTGTTTAAAATGGCTGCCTCGAGTAACTTGCGTTGACTTAAAGCACAGTTTGTGCGCATCCCCCGAAATGAACGCAACATGTTAGCAAGCTGTATATAGATATATACAATCAACCAGTAGGTGAAGTTGACAAAGCAGCGAGACACACCAGCCGTGGTCACTCTGTCTCTGGTTTAGCAACACGTTTTCACACCCAAAACGGCTGAAACTGACGAAGGGTGACCAAGCGTTTGTTTCCGATGTGTTGGGAGCTCAAACGCGTCGGGAGGTGCACCAGAGCATTGCTTTCCGATGCCCGCGGTAAAACCAGCATTTCACCGACATTTAACTTCTAACCTCTTGCGATTTAACCTTCCCCGCGCCCCATACTAACCTTAACCCAGTTTTTCATTCTAAATTTCCCGTTAACCGTGTTTGAGAAGAACGATTCAACAAGAAACAAAGTTTTGCAAGTAGCTTAAGGTTGGGGTGGGGGTGAGGGGAAGGTTAAATAGCAAGAAAGTAAAGGTCACAATTAGCGAAAATCTCCGTTATACCGCGGGTGTCGGAAAGCAACGCTTGGTCACCCTTTGTCAGTTTTAGCCGCTACGGGTGTGAGAATGTGTTGGGTTTAAAGGTCTTACATACCATCTACAATACTGCTGCTGTCAAGATGAACCAGTTACTGATCTTTTCTATTGACACCATGGTATCAGAGACGATGAGAATGATAAACAAAGAGGAAACGTGAGCTTATGGTAAATACAAACACTTAGACCATCTGAGAATGTTTGTCTGTATGAGAGAGGATAAAACTAGTAAGTCCCGGTCAAACACCAGACCTGACTGTCTTCCCACCTCCCATGGTAGCCATGACGACCAGGTAGAAAGACCCAAAATGCATCAGACCTAATTCCCGACAGTTGAAGAATGTCCCGAGGCTCCTCTTGAAAATCACTCCAATGAATCAACCCTCAGCTGACTTCATCTGTCATCATTTGCGTGTGTAAGCCAAACTTAATTTAACTAAAACACAGCGCACCATCAGTTACACTAAACTACACCTCACAATCAATATGCATTTAAGCAGCGTGATACACACACACACACACACACACACACAGACATGGACATGCACACGCTTGAGGCAAATGCACACACAGTCAGGCACAAGACCCACACACCCACACACACCTAGTGCATTGATTGAGCTCCCGTTAGCCATGTTCTGCACTAGCTGTCTGAAAAAGTGAGGGGTTACAGCTTGGAGTGTGTCCTCACCAAACCGCCGCCATCCATCTACAGGCTAATGAGGCTCAACTACTTATTTCTGTGTCTTTACTGGTGCTCAGCAGCAGTGTTGTGGACATCTTTCACATTTATAAAGAGAAAAAGCCCAAAACATGTAGCGGTATTAACCTAAAACTCAACTCTCCTTTGAGTCTTCAATGATATTTCTGCAGAATCTTCATAGTCGTAATTATTGCTGTGTAGTTCACTTTGGTGAGTGTATAACATGACACACCACATCCAGTTTGGTCCGTCCATTTTCATCATTAGGGTGTTTGGAGCAAGTCAATACCATACCATATGTATTTATAAAACGTCATTTAAACACAGCGTGAGCTGACCAAAGTGCTGTACACCATAGAACCATACAAAGACCAATAAAACACAATCAATACATACAAATAAAACACCTAAAAGAGCATTAAGATAGAATATCTGGATGAAGTCGAACTTCCTCCACTTAAACAAAGACAAGACTGAAGTTATTGTCTTTAGAAATAAGAAGGATAGGATGGAGGTTATAAGGTGGCTCCAGAGGCATAAAGACAAAGATCCAGGTGAGAAATCTTGGTGTCATAATTGATTCAGATCGGAGCTTCATCGGTACATTAAGGCTGTAACTAGATCAGCATTTTATCATCTTCATCAAATAGCACGACTCAGGGGCCTCATGTCCAGACAAGACCTAGAGAAACTCATTCATGTGTTCATCACCAGCAGGCTGGACTATTGCAGTGGTCTTTTTGGTCTTCCTAATAAAAGCTTTGAAGCAACTGCAGCCATTCAGAATGCTGCAGAGTCTCAACAAGAACCAAGAGAACCCAACACATCACTCCTGTTCTGAAATCACTGCACTGGTTACCAGCTCCTTACTGTACATACGAGACCCTTAGGAAGCAGTCAGCTGGTAGAACCCGGTTCAGAACCAAACTCAGAATTGAAAAACTTCATGTGTTCATCAGCCTTTGAATGAACGTTTATTATGCTGCACCTTATGCGCTGTACCTGCACATCCTTTTAACTCGCAGTGCCTTGCCTCAGGACTGGTGTCGGTACCAGATCGGCTCGGGGTCCTGCGCCTGCTGATGGCGTCACAGTAGATGATTGGCTGAACGTAAGACTTTCAGACGTTACGATACCACGTTCGTAAAAGTTATGTTAACACGTTGACAATGAAGATTTTGATTGGTCAGAATTAATTTATGGTTGTAGTCTTAGCCGTTGTAGTCCTGTAGTCCAAAAATCAACACTTTTCAGAGAAAATGTCCGAATTTCCAAACGAAACGTAAAATAAAAGCAAAGAGATCAACTGATAAACGGTGACCCTCAAAAGCTCTTGGTTTTGATGAAATGGGATAAAATAAAATATAAGAACTGTATTGATAAGACAGCAAGCAACATTTTGAATGAATGAATGAATGAATGAATTTACATAACAAATAAGGCAATATACAGACGAACTCCACAAACAGATATGGCTTCACATATAAGGACTGTTGTGTTTTTAGCAGTCTGATGTTGGTTTCATGTAGTTTCACATTTTTTACAAAACAATGATAACGTTGTGTTTTAATAACAAATAACAATTATAAATAAAAACATGTTAGGTGTTAAACAAGAATTTATTAGCAAAACTGCTGATGTCTTTCCAAAACTTGTGTGTGAAAGTGCCGTAATGTGACGTCATCAGCATGACCCCGAGCCGATCTGGCACCGACACCGGTTTGGCCGACAGGCGACGCAGGCGGCCGCCTGGGGCGACGCAGGCGGCCGCCTGGGGCGAAAATCTGCTCGGCAGGGCGCAAAGTTACAGGACAATAAAAAAATTAACGTTAATAAAATGCATGTATCGTCGCGTCCGGCTGTATGCCGAAATGGTGGTCAAGACAGCTGTCACTTTTTTGAAGGACTCAAACGGTTACTGTCGGCTGTAACCACGGCGTTACAGAAGAACAACTGAACAAGGCAAAGAAGCTGCACCAAACCAACACACACACACACACACACACACACACACACACACACACACACACACACACACACACACACACACACACACACACTCTTCGTCCCACCCTCAAATCACATACACACAATGCCCTTTTACAATCAGCTAATACACAGAAGAGAGCAGTGGCGGCTGGTGAAAAATATTTTTGGTGGGGCTGTGCTATTTTTTATTTTTAAACAAACTTGTGCTTTCTGAGCTTTGTGCACAACTTCACTATTTCCTGAATTAAGCACAGCTCTTTTATTTCCTGTCTTACATTATTGGACAAAGGGATTAATCCACGTGTGTCTGACTATTGGCACGCTGCCTTGCGGACCAAGGTTGAAGAATACTGCATTAAATTGCACATAAAATAACATGACCATATATGGTCCACATCCACATTACTGTTTGTGAAACTAACATACTGGAGAATTTCATCACAATAATATTAAATAAACAAGTATGTACCTGATCTTTTGCATGCTGTTGGTGAAGCTCTGGATGACCCCTGTGATGGAGACAGAGTCAATGTTCCTCTTCTGCAGCTGGTTGAACAGCATGTCCACATGTGGCATGATCTTGTGACACAATGCCAGCAGAAAGCCGAAATCTTCTTCCTCCAGCATTCTCACAAAGCCTCCTGCCTCTCTCTCAGTGACTGGATCAAAGTCATCCGAGTCTCTGATCATCTGGAAACATCTGAGGAGGTCATCCTTGTGCTCATACACTGTGTTGACATCTCTCTCTTGGACAAAATGTGCCGGTTCTGATCCACTTCTTCATTGTGTTTCTTCACTGCAAGCTGGCGTCCCTCGTCTCGAGCTGCATGGCTATGTTAGCTCTGCCTAGCATAGCTAGCTTCACCGTGTTGTCCATGTGCGCCCGGGATAACTCGTGTTTCTTCACCTTCTCAGAAAAATGTTTCATGTCCGTAACTCCTGACTCATCCATGCCTCATCTGTCACAGTCGTTTGGAAAGCAAAATAACGCATTAGCGTGATTTCATCCAGCTAGCCAAGCCTTCCCAGAAGCGTCGTGTGTATAGTTTACCTCTCTCCTCCTCCTGCTGGCTTATCTTTACGTCGGGCTGATCTGGTCCAAGCTCTTTGACATTAAGTATTTCCACCATAGTTCTCCTCTCGAACGGATGCTGGAGAAGAGACCGAACTGAATTCAGTGGCTGCTGAGATCCGGTATCCATGCTGCTGCTGGTTCTAGGCTCACTGGCGTCCCTGTCTATTACGTCTGCGTCACGACCGTCACGAGTCACACCAAAAACGTGCTGGCGTCGAGAATCTCCGAGTTCTACCGAGCACTAACGAAAGCCTTTGGCGGCAGCTCTATCGCCCATTCATGCTTCTGAAACAACGTCGACGCTGATTGGATTCATTCCCATTCCTACCCTTTGATTTTCTTGTCAGCAATTGGACGACTGGTCTCGTCCCTTTTAGGCGATTGAAACACAGCACACAGCGTCCACCGCTCGGCAGAGACCGGCAGAGACCAATATAGAAATATATATATATACACATATATATATATATATATATATATGATTTATTTTTGTTACAAAACACACAATTGACTTAGAATATGTGATTATTGTTAATTTTATTTTATTTTATTTTTTTAAATTAAAAACAATGGGGAAACTGGGAGGGCGGCGCCCTATCGCCCTCTACTGGCCAGCCGCCACTGGAAGAGAGGAAAACAAATATTTTCTTTTTTAAGCATGAACCTTACTGGAGGAGGAGCTGGGACAAGGACAGAATTACAGTAATGATGATGTCATCATGACATTATTGGTTAGCGTCCTGGGGGTGCTTTATGACTAACTAAGCTAACTTCTTATTATTGCAACGTTTGTGCAGAGTTTTTACCTGATGACGGTGCAGCACCGACAGTGTTAGGCAGAATACTTAAATTTTAACTGAATTTTAACTAAAGTGACACATTTTTGACGACTATGTGTGTACAGCTCGATTAGATGCTGGTTTACTGTATATAGTTTATCAGCAAAAAAAAGTTGATTTGGGGTGACTTGCTCTTTAATGAATGGTACAACCTTGTAATTCCAGGAAATGTAGCATGTTACAGCTGAAGTCCATTCAGGTGTGTTTAATACCTGATGTCCTGTCATTTCTACATCACCGTGTGACCTTACTGAAGGATTAATATCTATATTTACACGTGTCTGATTTGCTTCCAGCTGAATGGACAGACAGCATAAACTCAGCAGCCTGAGGACGCCAACACCCGTCAACACATCCTCAAGTTCATGACGAGTCTCTCAAGGCTCCTTGAGGCCTGCTGACTGACCTCACCTCTCTGGTAAGATGAAGGTGGAGTTGGGCTACAGAGGTCCCCATCAGCTAACATCAGCTGGTGATAAGGTTATGGTGATGCTGTTGTCCTTGTGCTACTGGGCTTGACTGCTGCCTTCGATACGGTGGACCATGACATTCATTTGGATCGTTTACAGAACTGGGTGGGGATTACAGGGGTGGCCCGTCAATGGCTGAGGTTCTATCTGGATGAGAGGAGGTTTTGTGTGTTGATGGGAAAGTCTCATATGGGGAGTCCCTCAGGGCTTTGTCCTTGGCCCCTTCTGTTTACGCTATACCTCCTGCCCCTGGGGTCGTCCTGCAGTGTCATGGCATTAAGTTCCATTTTTATGCAGATGACTGCCAAATCTACTTGCCGCTTGCTTGGGGGACAGGAGGCTCTGTCTGCATTGTTGGACTGTCTAACAGACGTTAAGTCATAGATGTCACGCTGAGCAGGAGGTTTGGACCCAAAAACGCAGAGCACACGAGACAGGAACAGATGTAAATAAGTAAATCCTTTATTTAAAGGAGGAGGCGTGATCCAGCGGTCCAAAAACAAAACAGAAGCTCACAACTGAGCACGGACTCGGGCAAAACTCGGGAGGGAACAGAACAACGTAGACACAACGATGGACCGACAAACACTGAAGGACCAGACAGGGTTTTTAAACACAGAGGGAGGTGATCAGGGGAACAGGTGACTGGTGTAAGGAGTGAGATCTGGAGGGAAGGCAGGCGCATACAATAACCTGAATGAGGGGAAAGAAACCAGCAGGATGGCAGATAAATCTTAACCTATAAAACACGGATAAAACGAAACCTAAAGACTGAGGGCAAAAATAAACAACTAATAACTAGATGGATGAGGATGACTAAAATAAGATTGACTAGGAATTATCAGGGAGTGATTAGGAGGACACCTGAGGGAAGTCTAGAGAGGGCTGGAGATAATAATGGGACACAAGAGGAGAACCTGGAGTGAGTACAGGAGGAGGCTGGGGACAGAGGGACACAGAACATGACAATATTTGGCTGCTAACTTCCTCTTCCTAAATGAATCCAAAACTGAGGTCATGGTGAAAGAGCTAGAGCAGGTGCAGAGGTTGATCTTGCTTCCCTGGCTCAAAATAACAAGACTGTGGTCACAACTTGGGGGTAAAAATGGATGCAGCCACTCGTTCATCGCACAAATAAACGTGGTTGTCTGGGCATGCTTTTTTAATCTTAGATGGCTTTCCAAGGTTAAGCCTTTCTTTGTCAAGAGTCCATCTGGAAACGGTGGCCCATGCTTTTATCATGTCCTGCCTTGACTTTTGTAATGCTGTGTATGCTGGGCTGAGTCAGGAAGCAACTTCACGGCTCTGGTCCGGAACTCTGCTGCCAGACTCCGGACCGGTACAAGAAGGCTTCTCTATGTTTTATCGGGCCAGATTTAAGATTTTGCTCCACGTTTTCAGGGTTCTGCAGGGCAGCCCTCCCCTACATCTGGCTGAACTGCTGCAGCGTTCTCGTGCCCTTCACTCTGCTGAGCAAGAGCTGCAGGAGGTTCCCTGCTCTAAACTAAGATCAAGGGGGAACGGGGCCTTCTCAGTAATGCCCCCTACACTGTGGAACGAGCTCCCCCCAACAGTCTCTTCAGGATTTAAAATCACGCCTTAAAACCCACTTTTGTCGACTAGCTTTCCCCCAACATTGACACTGGGTTTTCATATTTTTATCATTTGCATCGCATCGCAGTTTAAAATTGCTTTTATTTGTCTATTATTTGTCTGATTTTTATTCAATATGTTTTTTTATTACCACTCGGGTTTTTATGTCCTTTTCTGCACCGTGGGCCTCTGCTAAGGGGGTAGAAGGTGCTTTATAAATAAATAAATGAATGAAATGAAAATGAATGGTGGCCCTGAGGATTGTTGCCACAATGCCAGTGACAGCTGTTGCTGCAGAGAGGAGCTTCTCCTGATAGAACTGAATTAAAACACACCTGAGATCCAGCGTGTGTCGGTGTTAAAGGCCTTGTTCTTATAAACATCAGCCCTTAGGTTAATGGGCTGTCATCTGATGCCTTTGCTGCTGGAACAGAGCTGCTTGTTGTAGTTCAAATATTAAAACTGAACTGATCATTTAGACGGCTGCTGTCCTTAAATTCGATGTTTGCGCAGAGGGCAGACAAAAGGTGTGCGTGAGTATGTGTATGGGCTGCGGTGAGTGTGTGCACGTGCATGCAGGAGGAGGGCACCAGACTGAGTAAAGGGGTAAATGAGAAATGACCTGTATGCATAGCACCTCCTGGATCCTTGGTGTGTTCTTGCTGTGTTTAGTTTCAAGTTCCATCTTTCAGTTCGTTTTAAAACACAGAAAAGGTTTAATTACCTGCAACGTTTCGTTTGCAGCTGCAAACATCATCAGGCTGATGTGATAACCCTACCATACATCAGAGGCATAACAGAAAAACTAAGAGCAGCAATGAAAAAACACAACATAAACACACCAACAAAGCCATACACAACAGTTAGAAACAGACTAGTACACCCAAAAGACAAGATACCAGCTGGACAAAAATGTGGAGTCATCTACGAAATCCCATGCAAACTCTGCAATGAAACATACGTAGGAGAAACCGGACGCCAACTCAACACACGGACAATAGAACACAGAAAGGAGTGCGAGAAAGAAACAAGTAGAAAACACACAAGAGCAGCGAAAGAAGAAGCAGAAAGTACAATAAAGAAGTCAGCCGTAACAGATCACTGCACAAGAGAAAACCATGTAATGGACTGGGACAACACAAGGATCATAACCACCAAACAACAAAAATACAAAAGATGGATAAAAGAAGCTATCGAGATAAGGAGACGTGGATGTGGGACCATGAACAGGGACGACGGAGTTTACACGCTGGACCACGCATGGGACTGCATCGTCGAAGAGGGGAGAGCGGGCAGCAGAGGGCGACAACGTCCTCTGCTGCCCGCGGATAAACGAAGGAAGTGACGCGCCACCATCAGCGTCAGCCTGATGATGTTTGCAGCCGCAAACGAAACGTTGCAGGTAAATAAACCTTTTCTGTGTTTTAAAAAGAACTGAAAGATGGAATTTAGCACCTCCTGGAGTTCTGCAACCCCCAAAAGCACTTTACAACTCAACAGTCACCCATTCACACACTGGTTAAATGTCTTCTAATGAAGTAATATAAAGATAAGATAAAGTGCAGTTTTTTCTCAGTAAGACCCCCCCCCCCCAAACACACACACACTCACACACACACACACACACACACACACACACACACACACACACACACACACACACACACACACACACACACACACACACACACACACACACACACACAGCTGTCAGTAAGTTGTAAAGTTACACATTTAGAGTGATTCCTTAAAAAATGTGTCATGAAAAAGCTAAATTTGCCATTTTTTTTCATAGGCAATTAACATTCAGTCATGGTTCATCTAATCAGTCCACTCTTTTATGGTAACACTGATCTGAAACATATATTTACAACTAAAAAAGATTGGACACTACTATTTTTTATTTAATATTCAATAAAGATAAATAATGTCTTAATTTTAATACTTTTTGTTTTTCACAGTCAGCTTTGGTGTTAATCGTTTACCAAAAAGTACAAAAATATTACAAGATTTTAAAAAGTTATGCATGAAAAAATAATTCTTGAGCATTCAAATCAAACATGTCCAGGTTTTCTGATCGCCATAGTACTGATCATATTGCATTGTAAATGAATTCAGGGTATATCAATAACCTTTTTTTATCTCCACTGTTTATGTTTAAAATGATGGAAGGTGGACATAAAACATGGCCTGAGCCAACTCAGAAGAACTTTTACAAAAAAAAAACTAATGATGAACTAAAAGGCCTAAAACTTTCCACGGACACGTATACACTAGAATCTCCAACAGAGAACCTAACTTCACAGAGAACTCCATTCAGCTTTAGGCGGGTTTGTCGTCTCTGTCGACTCGATAGCTCCCGTGTTTCCTTTCTGCTCCTGCCTCCAGATTGTCCTGTTGGGAACCAAGCTAGCTTGAAGCACTCCCAGACTTTAGACTCCTTCAGTCTTGGAGAACTTTTCTAACTCAACTTGTTGAGGCG